TAAACCCTAAACCCTAAGCCCAAATGGGATGACCCGTTGATGTCGCGACCAACGCTCATTTTGCAAAAGCCTTTTCCCACAACCCCTGGATGTCTGGCCATCCCAGCCTCCCAAACGGCGAGAGGCAGCCCAAAATGAGCGAGTTTTACAGCAAGTGGGGTTTAGGGTTTAGGGGTGCGCCTTTTCAAACTGCTTCTTCCTGGACCCTTCGCTTTTCTTGGCTTTTGACCATCCCGGCCTCTACACTCGATGGATGTGGAACTCCCGAACCTCCATACCGTAAGTCAGCCCTGAACCCTTAGACCCTGGACTCCCAACCCCCCAGGCTCAAGCCAAACCCCCAGATCCGCCCCGCTTGGCAGGTGGTACTTCGAAGGGGAGGTGCTGAAGAATGACATGGTTAACATGTGTCTGGGACAAGAGGAGGGGCCTTGCTCTACTTGGAGGTTCAAGAGGGTCGATTTTTAAAGGGGAGGTAAAAGTCCTCTAAAATGGGAGAGTGCGATAGTTATCCCTTCTGGTAACTAACCATGAGCCTCCAGGTATAGGGTTTCCGACTTCTGAGTCCGACCTTCTGGTTGAATATTTAGCCCTGAGGCCGGAGCTCTAAACATCTAGGAATACGGGTTTAGGGTTTAGGGTTTAGGGTTTTGGAGGGTTCCTGCTTGTAAACATAAGAAGGTGTAGCACAACATACCCTCTTGTTCCAAGGGCCCAATATGATGTAACATTGCGCCCCAGGCTTGACGAGAGGATGATGGTGCCCCCTAGGTGTTGACAACTGTCTCCGGGCCCAAAGCACCTTGAGGTGGTTTTATCTCGTAGCATCCATACACTTCGGAACCCTCAACCCCTAAACCCCTAAACCCCTAAACCCCTAAACCCCTAAACCCCTAAACCCTAAACCCTAAACCCTAGACCCTAAATAAGCCCCAAACCCTAATCCCCACACCCATGCCCCAGAGCCCAAGCCGGCAAGTCGTGAACCCGAAACCGCAGACGCCCTGAGTTCGCCCCGCGCCCCACAAGCTTGGAGCTTGACCGAAGCCGACAAGCCTCAAGTGCCGGGAGCATCTTCGTGGGCTTTCTGAATTCCTGGATTTGACCCTAAACCCTAATCCCTAAACCCTAAACCCTAAACCCTAATCCGTGTAGGAGCCTCGATAATTAGCAGTAGGATTCCTTTCGAGTGCCCGCGATCCTCAGCCCTAAACACAACTAGGATTTCCAAGGCTTTTCCAAGCCTGCTACCCTAAGACACCAGACACCCGCGTCGAAGCCTGAGAGCCTTTCACCAGGGATCTCTCTCTCTCTCTCACTCTCTCTCTCTCTCTCTTTCTTGTTCTCTTTCTCTCTCTCTCTCTCTCTCTTCTCTCTTCCTCCGTATATAGACAGACATGTATATACATATATAGATAGATAGATAGATAGATAGATAGATAGATAGACATGGGGGGTGCGGGTTGCAGGTTTTGGATCTGGGGCAGCTTGCAGAGTTGCAGGTCACAGGACGAGGGCTTTGGGTTTAGGTCTCGGTTTGGATTTAGGGGTTCGGGTTTAGGGTAGGTTACCGGTTAGGAGTTTTTTTGGTGTTGGGCCTGACGAACTTTAGGGTCCTAGAGGGGTAGATGCGTCTCAGCGTTCTGCAGCACCTCACAAGCCCGAGAACCGTGGCCTGCGCGATGAGCCCGAAATGCAAAGGTCTTGGGTTCAGGGGTTGGGGCCTAGGATGTAGGGTTTGGACCTAAAAACCCCAAGCCCCACCCACCCAGGTGCTTGGACTACTACGAAGAAAACGTGAAAATGCATCCATGTCATGGACATTCCAACCAGAAATGGCATGCCGGATCTTATTCAGCAGGGGGGTTGTAGAGTTGTTTGAGTTTATGATTTTCGGATTCAGCAGGGTGTGGGGCAAGCGGTTCAGGCTTGGGAGTTTGAGGCTGGAGGAGGATTGCTGACATTTTGCGATATGCGGGGTGTAAACGTACGAGAATCTGTACGTACGTACAGATCTGTACATATATACGTATGTATGTATGTATGTATGTATGTATGTATGTATGTATGTATGTATGTATCTATATATATGTATATGTATATATATATATATATATATTACTAACTAAATAAAGCAACACAAGTAAATATAAATATAAATATAAGTAAATAAATAAGTATATATAAATATATATGTATCTGCATGCAAAGTACTTGAATATAGCTGGAGAAGGTGCAGGCTCTGAGGTGAGTGCGCAGACACAGATATTAACTTTCAGCCGCTGTAACACAGTTGTGGTTGCAGGACATGATCAGTCTTGATGTCGAAAAGTGGCATGTCCCGGTGTGCTATGTCATAGTGCTCCGTCGGTTCGGATAGACATGGACTTACACACCTGCACATACAAATGCCCTGAACCCCAGACCATAAATTGCCACATGCAAAGTGCGGAGCGGTTTGGCTGTAAGTGTGGGTCTGTCCGGTTGGGCAAGGCAGGGAACGCTCTTGGATGTGGGATGATAATGCTGATAATCGTGATGATGGCGAAAGTAAGTATCATGAGCGCAGAGCAGGAATAGGCAGGATAACATCAAGTAAGCAGATGTTTAGCAGCATGACCAGGCACCGTATCTGTAATGATGATGGTACTGGCCTGGTACTGCCGCTTGCGTTTGCAATATGTTGCACTGCTGGCATCAAAAAGTCGCAACTACCAGCCCCCTAAAGCGAACGCCCACATCTGTAAACCTTGAAAGTGCAGCAGCAAAGAATATGGCCAGTGGTGCGAACATAAATTAACATGCGAGCAATTGCAACAACGGCGACACCACCGTTGCTGACAACAGGATCAGAAGGGTAGAACCCGTTGCCAGCGATGAGCACGATGCTACTGGTTCTGATTAGCAGAAGCAGGGACAATCGTGAATACTTGCAACAGCTGCAACACCACGAGCAACAATATCCGAGTGCGAATCCGGGTATGAGGAAAGCAGATGTAGCGAGAAGTGTTTACGTTGCTGGCACCACGGCCAGAAATGTGCAGAGACACTCTTAGCAATGTTCGCAGCAGGATGACCGCTCGCGGTAGCAATAGAAAAGAATCAGCGCGCAGCCCCAACGCCGGCACTCTACGACTCTCGCTAAAAGGAATAGACCTGAGAGTCTCAAGAAGCCCGTGCCGTCGCAATGCGCGGGGAGCACTGTGTTGTCACCTGTTATCACAAACTGTGGCGCTGCTGTTACATCAGCAAACCCCCCTACACCCTAAACCTGCATGACAGCGAGCCTTCCACCCCAACTGCGCCCCTGAGCAGGTTTGCACGGGCTGTTGGTTTGGAGGTCGGATTTTTTTTCGCAGTGGCATTCCCCTGAAAGACATCCACTCTAAACCCTAAACCCTAAACCCTAAAGCCTAAACCCCTCTCTCCTCGACCGTAAAGCCTCTACTCAACAGCCACCGCAAGAAGCCCGCGAGACTCTTCGAACCCCAGGGTTCAGGTTTCCGTGGTTTAGGGTTAAGGGTCTAGGCTTAGGTCCCCAAGCCTCAATCATCCAAGGCACCCTAAATCCTAAACCCTAAATACCCCAAGGTACTTCGAGCACGGGTTCCTGAAGTCGCGGGCGGATGGCCGATGTTTAGACTTCCATCCGGGCAACGGCAACATGTGCCCCGCCGCGCGCAGACGCCTTCAAAAGGGCTAACGGACTTGTGGGTTCGAGCCCTAACCCCTAAGACCTAAGCCCTAAACCCTAAACCTTAGACCCCAAACCCGAAGCCCCAAATCCTAAAGCCTAAGCCCTAAACCCTAAGCCCTCATCCCTAACCCTAAGCCCTCATCCCTAAACCCTAAACCCTATGCCCTAAGTCCCCAAGCTTAGGGTTTGGGGAGAAGCTTTAAAGCCCTGACCTGCGCACCAAACCCGCACACAGCCCGTACGAAACCTTCCATAAAATCCTTTCATTTTTCCAGGGTTTAGGGTTTAGGGGTTTAGTTGTTTAGGGTTCAGGGTTCAGGGTTTGGGGTTTAGGGGATTAGTAGTTGTTTAGGGTTTAGTTGTTTAGGGGTTCAGTCCTTTAGGGGTTTAGTTGTTTAGGGCATTGGGTTTAGGGGTTTAGTTGTTCAGTTGTTTAGGGGCTTACTTGTCTGGAGGGTTTAAGGTTTAGTTGTCTAGGGCTTCAGGGTTTAGGGTTTAGTTGTTTAGTTGTTTAGTTGTTGTGGGGTTTAGGTCCGCAAGAGATTCCATGAACGCTCTGTATCGCTATCACAGCACGCCAAAAGTCTCAGGCGCGCAGCAGATGCAGGCCTTCAGGAAGCACCCTTGTAACGCACACTCTTCCCAGGGTCTCCATTATGGTCTCCTTGTTTGGTTTTTGGCAACTAGGTATTTGAGATCCTACAAGGTAACCCCAAAAAGGAGCTACAACGGAGACTATAGTCCGGGTGGGTAGTTACCGTTGTAGGAGCCTTATAGAAGGTTTATATACCTTATGGAAGCCTTATAGAAGCTCTATATACCCTCAACTCCCCACCTGAAAATGTCCTAGATATAGGTAGTTTCTGAATGCTGATCTTCCCCAACCGGGTAGCTCCAAGACCTGCCCCCAAGTCAACTCGAACGTCCTTTTTCCCTACCCCTGAACCCGAAACTGCCGAAAATAGCCCTGAAACCTGAAGCCTCAACCCTAAACCCTAAACCCTAATCCCTAAACCCTAAACCCTAAACCCTGAGCCCCGAAGCTGCAGGTATGTGGGGAACTGCCCCTGGAGCGACACCCTCCTCTGGAACTGGAAGCACAATGCTCCCAAGCCGGCTTAGGGGTTTAGGGGTTCAGGGTTTAGGGTTTAGGGTTTGGGGTTTAGGGGTTTAGGGTTTAGGGGTTGGGGGGTTTCGGGTTCCAAGTTGTTGAGGGGTTTGGGGTTTCGGGATTAGGGTCAGGGTTTCAAGATGTTGTGTTTAGGGTTGCGGGTGGTTAGCAAACTGTGGTGGTCTTACGCTTACGGTTGTTATTCATGGCATTGTCGGGTGGTTTTTTGGGATCAAGGGTGAAGTTTTCGGGAGCCACTACGGCCGGATGTAACCTGTTTCTGAAACCTGAGCCCTAAACCCTAAACCCCTAAACCCTAAACCTTAAACCCTAAACCTTACATCCTAAAGCCCTAAAGCCTTAAAGCCCTAAAGTAAACCCCTAAACCCTAAACCTTAAACCCTAAACCTTACATCCTAAAGCCCTAAAGCCTTAAAGCCCTAAAGTAAACCCCTAAACCCTAAACCCTAAAGTAAACCCCTAAACCCTAAACCCTAAAGCCTAAAGCCCTAAACCCTAAACCCTAAAGCCTAAAGCCCTAAACCCTAAACCCTAAACCCTAAACCCTAGGGCTTAGTGCATTTAGGGTTTAGGGTTTAGGGTTTGGGGTTTAGTGCATTTAGGGTTTAGGGTTTAGTGCATCTAGGGTTTAGGGTTTAGGGTTTAGTGCATTTAGGGTTTAGGGTTTAGTGCATCTAGGGTTTAGGGTTTAGTGCATTTAGGGTTTAGGGTTTAGTGCATCTAGGGTTTAGGGTTTAGGGTAAATTCAGGGTTTGGGGTTTAGGGTTTTGAGGCCGTTGCTTTTGCCATCAAGACCAGCTCCCAATCCGAAATCCGAAATGTGAACCCCGCAGTGCTGTTCAGGGGTACCGGCTTGTTTTGGTACCAATATATATATATATATATATTGATATTTTCCAACTACTCCATACTTCAATGCCTCGGGCCAGGAAGCTTTGAACTCCTGCAACGCTAACCATCGAAGCCTTCAAAAATCTAAACATCGAACCCCTAAACCCCAACCCCGAAACCCCTCATACTGCACCGGTATCCTCCTTCGCTTTTGGGACGAGGGTCGCCGATGGCAACATTTTCTAGGAAAGCACCCGACCGCTGGCAGGCGTAACAAGGATGAGTCAACCC